AACCTGAAAACGCCCCGAAGTTGATAAAGCTTGATCTTCGGCTGAATAAGCAGTTTGATGATGATGCGTTCTGTGCAGTTGCAGCATTACTCAAACAACGCTGGAGAAAACCCGTCGGTAAAATGGCAGATCTCCGACTGTCTTTGAATAAAGTAACTCGTAAAGGGTTTAGTAGTGTAGAGAAGAACACCGACAGTGATGGAGCCGGCGCCTGGTCTCATATAGAAACACTCTATCTACTGCATGGTGACATTCCAAATGAATTTTGTGACTTCCTATATCAAACCCTGAAAAAGAAAATACCATTCTCAGTTAGAAAGGATAGAAAACCGTATACTGAAATACTATATGGTAAAGGAACAGAAACGCTGAAGCCACCCTTTTGTGGACTAATTAACAAAGACAGATCATTCAATCGTTGAAGAACATAAGAAAGGCCATTAATGCTTTTTTAATGATTTTTTTTTTCAGCTATTATATACAGTGTAGAAACTGTTACAAATCAAGTAGGGAATACACATTTTGAAAAGTTTGTTTTTTAAAATCATTTTTTTTAAAGAGATTGGTATTAAAGAATGACAAATTTGTTGGAAGTGGATTCTTTGGGCAAAAAGTAGATGAAATTTCTCAATTTGAAGAATCTCGATAAGTTTATTTTGTTGAAGAAGATCAGACATAACGGGATGCATGACGCGGTCACACTAGAGGCGTACCATAAAGGTAAGGGTTTTTTTAAGTCAAAACGTAGAGTTTCTCGTATAATCCCGGTTCACCAACGGGAAACCGGAAACATTTTGCACACATGCAGTGGCATTTCTATAGCGTCAAATTTCAAGCGCAGCAATTTTGTGAATGGTAAACTGAAGGCAAATTAATTGAGTGGTCGGGCACAACCCGACCACTCTTTGGATTTGTTGCGATTAATCTTTCTTTCTTTGAGTGGTCGGGCACAACCCGACAACTCTCTGTTTTTGTTCCGATAAATCTTCTTCTTTTTTTCCGGACAATACTTCTCCGCGGCTTTTCTCCTAAACGGTGCATGATATGAACTTGTAACTTTCAATATTTATCGACCCTCATCCCTAGTGGTGCATATTACTCTGACGTCATGATGACGTCATCGGGTGTCAAATTACAAGCAATTTCAGCTGAAAAGTGATCAATTACTTTCACCTATAACTCTTGAACAAAATAATCAATGATCTTTGTACTTCGTTATCGGATAGACCATGAATTGATAAACATTTTTGGTTGCGTACGTGAACTCGCTTGATCTTTACTTCCGGGTAAAACTATGCGTAGAGTGATTGGTACATTCATAAACTTGACGAAAAAAAATAGAGAAAGTAATAATGGTTATTCTGCCATTGTTATTGGTTATTACGCGGTAAACAAAGTGATGCCTGGTAAGGTTTGTGTAGATTTTTTATTGCTCTTGTATTTCCTTTTCCATTTAAGAGTAGCTAAACTTTTCCTTTAACACATGAATACATCTGTAATTGCATCGGCTTTTGCACGTTTTAAACCACGACTGTTTATGTTAATATCTATGACATGGCTGGCATACTGTCAGAGTAGTTGCAAGAATTGGGGTTTAAGTCGATACCCTGGATGGATATATATTTATCTAATTTATCAGAAAGTGTCTGATATTCCTCGCTTTTTTGAAATTATTACTTAATGGTATTTACGGACTTTCAGAAAATTTCGTTCTGTGAGAAAATAAACAAGCTTAAGTTAATATAAGCAAGACAAGTCAAGCTTATATAAGCTGATCCTGGAGCTCACAAACGTATACTTAGTTGATTCATATATGTCGTAGGCTAACCAGTAGTAGTAAGGTGTACATGTATATATATATTACGTAAACCGTCGCCGTTGGCATTGTGAATCGACTTATTTCCGATGCATGTATCTTAAAACAACATAAAACAAGTAGTGCCAGACTAAAGCACGTGATGCTGATGTTATAAACAAACAAAGAGGCCAGCCTCGTATGGCAAGTTACAGTCAGTGAGATGTTTAACCAGTCTAATTCACAACGAGTCAGGCAGTCACTCAGCCAGACATTCAGTCAGAGACAAAGTTACTTGGACTGCGCCGCTTTGGGGCCAGCGAAAATAGGGTACAATTACAATTTTAATATTTCACCCTGTACCTATACCTGCCTGGGTATTTAAGATCAATTGTGAAGTAATTTTATATCAAAAGGGGGCAATTTTTGCTGTATTCGTTTGAAATCAAGTAAAGATCCTTTGCCCTGTAAAGAAAAGTTGATAACAATATACATGAGTAGCAATAAACTTAATGTAACTGAAGTAAATTGAAACTCAACTTTTCATCACACACATACGAATTATAAAGCACTGTGATAAGAACTCTTGGCAAATAGAAGGATACCATTGGAGTTAAAGGATTTCTTCTTTCAGTAAGCAGATTGATGGCAAAGAATATATGTAAAGAAACTTTGAAAATAGGCAGATTGTTAATAACCGAATTTTTTGTTTTATTCAAATTATTTACCGAGCAATATATCTTATGACTAACCACTTAATATACAAATGAATAAAGAATATTCGACCTTTACAATGTCAATGTTTATCTTGCCGTTTCCTTCCGAAGCTGGATTTTGAACTTATATAGCAATGCAAACAATAAATGCGGTCTATTTAAACAACGAAATGCAATAGGCCTACTGTTCTATGGAAATCTATTTTTACATCAACAAAAGTCCAACTTTACATGTAAAGTAAACTGGAACACACATTTTCTGTCGTGCTTTTTAAAAAGTATATATCAGGAAAGTAATCCTTAATTGATCGAACATAAAGAATTTCACTCACGGAGACATTCTTAACTATTGTCTTTCGCGTGAAGATGTGTACCGACAATAATAGCCTCAAGTGGTCCTTTCTCCTTTGCTACGGATGCTGACGAACAGTGCCACCGTGCGTTTGAAAGTCCCGTCTTGTTTTGGGCCAAGTTATGTTTCCTGAACTACCATAGCCTTGAATGCAGGCTGTATGTGCTCTTTAACAGCGTGTCATAGCTGGCCCAGGCCAAGGAGCTTGCCGGCCACAGCCGACGGGGCTATACGTAGTCCACACACAGCGAACCCCGATCCGACCGCGCGCTCGCGAAACCCACAATGTATGCACACACTGCCCTCACTGCCCATGGGCCGTGAGGGCAGTGTAGTCCCATCTCGCGTATACATGTACTCGCATCTCGCGTACATGAGATTTCCACTTTCGCGTGGCATGTGATCTGGTACACGGTACCCTGTGAAGACATGTGCATAATAGGAAACAAAAGATTGTTCACGTCTCCACACAGCAAGTTATATAGGTGAATATACAAGTTTATCACGAAATAGATATATGGATTTTACTCAAAAACTAGGAATTTCCAAGGTGGGTTGATGTGTCGCAAATTGATGTATTTCATGCAAGGGATATAATGTCTGAATTTCAGCCCAGCAAATTATACTAGTTAAAACATTCGTAGCTAAAACTTTTTAGACACTGTCGTCGAACCTCCAAAATCTTTATCAATCTTGAAACATTTAATGAGAAAATGTAAGCTCAATCATTTACAAAGAATGGACAGCTTTCTCCCAAACAGGCAGACGAGCCAACTCAAAGGTGTCATCACATTTTACAATAGCGCAACATGGCAAGTTAAAACGGCTTCAGCCAGACATAACAAATAAAACGTAAAACATGTACTCGCCGGATAGAAATAGAAGTTTAAAACATAGTTAAAGGCGAACTGCGTCCTGAAAATCGCTTAATTTGGCTACAAAAAGCGCTTTTAACGAAACAAAGAGTATTTAAAAGAACAATGTAAACGAACACCTCCACCATTTTAAATACTACCAGTTTTTTGTGTTATTCATGCGAGAACACATTTCAGGGGTCATCATTTTTACTCAAATCGAGCAGTTTGGCTGCTATATAGTTGGGATTCCTGTATTACATGTTTCACTAGTGCAACGTATGCTATGGACGTGCGGGAAAAAATACCTGTGCATCAGGTGTACACGCGTTACTTGGTGCTGTACTGTGGTTTATATCAGTTTCCAGCTGAAAAGCCCAACCTACTTGTACCGATTTCTCATTTTACCCCTCTAGTTCAGGACAGAAATGTGTATCACAGAACGTGTACAGTATAAGTTTCCACAACTCTTTATAAAATACTTCCTTGTTACCTAATATCACCACTTTCTTCATAACTGACATTAACACATACAAAAATACCTATCAAATCCTACGAAAAAGTCGACAAAAAGAGACTTGCCCTTTCTTTTGAACGCAATCGTTTGTACACAATAAGGACACATTAATCTTGCTGATCTTGTACCAAGTACCGGTATACCTTAACGTTGATTGAATAGGTGCACCAGACTGAAAGTTATCCAGGACTGAATCCAAAATGCAATATGCACATACTGTGAGGTCTTACATTCTTCAAAACTGACATTAACACACCCAAAATACATATCAAATCCTTCGAAAAAAATAAACAAAAACATTCTTGCCTTTTCTCTGAACGCGATCGTTTGTACACAAAAAGGACACATTTATCGTGGTGAACTTTCACCAAGTAGAATGAATACCTTAACGTTGATACAATAGGTGCACCAGACTCAATCTTATCCAAGTATGAATCCCAGGTGCAATGCACATACTGTGAGGACACAAATGTTTTTAGGGACCTTACTAATTTGGCTTTATGAATTTCGTTACGTCGTCTGCACTTGTTATTACCATTTGCGTCCCTAATTTTAGGGTGAAAGACTACATATTCTGCTTTTTCACTTCTTTCTGAGGTCAGAGGATGTCAGGTAAAACAAATAAGTTACATTATCAATTCTCAATATCGTATGTATTTCTGTTTACTTGCCTAGACTATTATGCTAATCTATTAAAGTGATCTTGTCGCCAATTAACATGTTGCCTGCAAATGCAGTCAGAATCGTAGTAGGCGATTAAGCTTGATTAATTACGACGACATCCAAGTAACTCTAATCGCAGACCAACACCACCAGACCATGAAGTGGGCTCAATACGCACCACCATTACCACCACACTCTCATCAAATAGGTTAGTGACCGGGCTGTGAATATTGGTGTTAGCGACGAACACCTGGAATTAAAACAAATACAATCAAATATTAAGATACTCGATGCGCCGATATTATTCTACAGGGTCTCAGATTTGTGGCTATGGGCCCTAATAATAATAATGATAACACAATTTATAGCACGTATTCTCGCAAGTAACAATTCGCGACTAAGGACAACTCCAGATGGCAAAGTTAGAGAATACGAGAAGAGAACAGATCAGTTTTCAATATATCCTTAAAGTCGTCAAGAGAACTGATATTACGAATATTGTGCGATAAGGAATTCCAGCACCGGGGACCAGACACTGAGACGGCCCTGGGTGCATTGACCCTAAAAGGGCCGGAGCGGAATCTCCCCACCCCCCTAAATTTTTCCGCAATAGCCTTGAATTTTTTTCGCGACCCAAGCTATAATGACTTTTTAGCCTGGAGCTTTGCGCATCTTTTGATAACAAAAACAAATACAAATCGGACCAAGGGTTGCCGCGCAACGGAAAGTTTTACAGCGCTACGCGCCGGGAAAACTGAGTTTTCCCACTGACGTCGTGAACACATCTTTTGATAACAAAAAGAAATACAAATCGGACCAAGGGTTGCCGCGCAACGGAAAATTTTACAACGCTACGCGCCGGGAAAACTGAGTTTTCCCACAGACGTCGTGTACACAGAGCAGAATTCCCATTTGTACATATAAACAATTAATTAATTAGCCATGATTCCAAACCCTTTTGACCTATGGTCATGAAATTCTTGGTTATGTTCATGATGAGATGCTCTATGCATGTTCCGAGTTTTTCGTCGCAGAATCCGCCCCCGCCCCTCCAGTTGACAGATGGTCAAAATAACCCGGCACTTTTATGGTTAAGGGAGAGGTGTCGCAGAATGTAATGCAGCATTGCTTAGGAAGTGACATACATGTACATTAAGTTGTCCATATTCAAGCGTTGTTGTTATAGTAATGATTTTCTTGTAAGTTTTTTGTTGAAAATTTTGTCCATTTGGTAATCTACCAACTATCCAGTCTACTATTAAGTTATAGTGAGCTTAAGCCCCAAAGGCATTATCACAAGTGATTGATTTAATGAAACATAAGTGTTGTTGATTATAGATTGGAGACTTATTGCTTCATTTAAATCAGCTGTCACCGCAGCGTAAAAACGTCAGATAAATATGCCTAATTTAATATTGCGACAAAGTATGATGAGATATTGCATTAAAAAGCGGCTCTATTTGTCGCAATAAGACCCAACCCATTGCTGATCGAATTCGCACCATACAGGTTTCCGTCACTCAGACAAGACCTGGTATGGGTTCGACACCCCCACGGGATACATGTGTGAATCGATGTGCCTAGAAAACCAAGCTTGCTTTTGTTCACTCTTTTTGAACAAACAACGCAATGATGAATAATCAGCGATGACGTCACCCAGCAAAAATAAACTCCGTGTTAAGTTGAATACCGCAGATATCAATACTTTCGTTTCAGCAAATTTACACAATTCCGTGTAAATGTTTACTACCGCGAGATATCAATATTTTCAATTCAGCAAATTTACACAATTCCGTGTTAATGTCTAATACCGTGCCGAGATATCAATATTTTGGTTTCAGTTTTCGTATCAATACTATGCAAAGCCGGTACATACACAACGCGTAGGCAAACAGACCTGCATGACGAGTTATCAAGTTTCGTAGTTACGTGATCCGTTACACTAAAGAAAAGGCCTCGTATACTGATATTTGTGCAAGTAAAAACCGGTCTTAGCACTACCTCTAGCAAAACTCGTGCAGGGAGTCCACATTGACTATAGTCTCGAATGATACCCAATGCGTAAATGCTATTGAAATTGGTTTCAGAATTAGTTCGAGACAAACAAATTCACTCATAAGACAAATGAAAAGATGTATCGAACTTATTCCCTACCGTATAAATAACATAAAAAATAATTCAACAAATATATCAAGCTTGTTGAAATCTTAGTTGAATCTTTATGATACGCAGGAATACTATGTAAAAGACTACCTTGATATCTCCGTTTCCATCTGATACATGATCGTAGACAGTTGAGGGCTGCTTCTGGTATGCCACTGTGTACTTCTTCACATACCAATCGATCAAGCCTCCTTGTGTGATGATACCATACACCACTGTACTCTTCTCGAGGTCTACCTCAATCCAGGGATTTGCATCGGTACTGTACACATAGTAACGTAGTGTTAAGAACAGTGCAATAATCCGGAAAACATATCCGCAAGCAGTTTTGGAGCGAATGCAATCAAAACTACTCAGTTATAAATACTGACTTGCTGTATGCTTAGAATTGGTTGTAAGGTTTGTCGTTTCTATTAAACTATTCTAATGCTTTGAAGCGTTGATTTGCAGACAATATTGTTAGGTCAGTTTAGTGCTAGGTTGGTGTTGTTCTTACCTCTTAGGATTCCATTTCCCATTCATGTTATTGAGACGTGCCTCAATGGCAGGAGCATTGGCAGTACTGCTGGACGCCCTGATCTGACCATCAGCGATTGTCATGTCTTCCATACCAAGGGGCTCCGGACTACAACACTCGGCCGTTAGCAGCAAGTCAAAAAATAAACGAAAATGTTTCATAAAATAACCCTCCGAGAGAGTAGTTTTATTGGATACTTTTCAAATCTTATTAATTTGTTTTACATTTTCAAAGTGTAAAAATTGCCACAGATGATCTTATTTGTATAAGGTATTGGGTGTGATATGTGCCGTGCAGCGGGTCGTAATATGAGAAGTAAATAACTATGGTTATATAACCGACATACAGATCCTTGTCATTTGATAGGTGGAACTCACATCACGTGACATTCGTTATTGCTCCCATTCACGCCACGGCTCAAAAAGTACTATCTGCCGATGGGGAATGGGAAATATTATAACACCTCACCCACAGATTCTGTGTCTTGATTGGCCGAGAGCGAGTCACATGTTACTTTCTAATTTTGCTATCTTTCTGTGCACGGCCAAAAGTACTATGCGCATAGCAACCAAAGTACTATACCATTAGCAACCAAAGTACTATTTCCACGGCGTGGTATTTGTGTGCAAATGCATGCTGGTGTGCGCGTTGCGCGTTGTGCGTAGCGCGTATTATTCAGAGAGAAATACATTTTCCACCAATGTTGTATTGAAATTGAAGTTTATTTCAACTGTGTTCAGATTTGAATAATTTAAAATATTAAAATCAAGCAGAATCTGTGGGTGAAGTGTTATAAAACAAATATTGAATGCTTTATCTCGTGGTGATCCATGGACCATTCTATTTTCCCTCGGCTTCGCCTCGGGAAAATAGAATGGTCCATGGATCACCTCGGGAGGCTAGTTTTACTACACCATTTGAAGCATTCAATATTTGTATACTATTCAACAGTTAGGATCATGACGCGGTATTTGTGTGCAAATGCATGCTGGTGCGCGCGGTCAGCGTTGCGCGTAGCGCGTATTGTTCCAAAGAGCCAGCGCTACAGCGTTGGGTTGAAACATTTTGTTAAGGGGTGGTTTGGAAGAGAGAAGTACATTTTACTCAAGTTTTGTATTGAAAAAAAAAAGGTTCAAATATATCAAATGAGTGGCTTTAAATTGTGAAATGGGAAGAATATTATCGCTCGGTAAAATCTGGACTTTTCCGGTTCACTTGGCTTCGCCTCGTGAAATGGAAAAGTCCAGATTTATCTTGCGATAATATTCATCCCATTCCACGCTGAGCCACTCAATATTTGTATACTATATGTCCCAGACCTGACGAAACATGTCGGGGGAAATCAGTTTGCCCTCGTCTGAGTGCATATAATTTATACCTCAGGCACAATCCCTTCGAATACAGATACTGAGCATTACGCTAAATATCAAATTTAGCACAGCAAGTGACAACGTGAAATATAGGCTACACGTGTTCAGGACTGATGACATGCCAGGCAGATAGAACGAATACATAGGTACCAGGAAATTAGCACATCCAAACAATACACTCTCAAAAAGATATGTAAAGAATAGTTAGGTAAAATTTGTTATGTAAAATAATAAACAATTTCGGTAGAAATTGCCGGAAAAAAGTACCTCGAAAACATGTAAATTGAAAAACACACATTGAAAAAGTAAAGCAGTCAGTTTACCTTAATTATGTAAAAACGTACTGCAATTAGGTAAAACGCACTACAAATAAGGTAAAAACGTACACGCGGTGACGCGACGCAGCTAGCACAGCACAGCATAAGAGAAAATGGAGTACACCGTGACGTCTGTAACAATGAGGGGATGTGCCGCAGCTAATTTCGGTCTTTGAAGGTAACATTTTCTAAACCTCTTGCGATTGTTTTACCGTCCTCAAGCCCCAGAAATGCCTGGACACTTTGTACGATAAAAACTAATATTAGTAGTGTTTACCTCGGCCACTGCGCGTATTATACAACTCGTGCGTGAACCAACTCGTAGCGAGACAACTCGTACATGTCGTACGCGGGCCAACTCGTACGCCAGCCAACTCGTATGCCGGCCAAAATTAGTCAATTTAATAAAAATTGAACGATACACCGTTCCCAGTACACAGTCAAGAATCGTCGACCACATATATTTTTGTTAACGAGTTTAATTCTGTGTACGAGTTGGACCGCGTACGAATTTGTCCAGGTACGAGTTGTGGAAAGAATGTTACAACTGATATATCATCTCAATGAAGGTCAGTCATTGAAAAAATGATGATAAGACATAAATCTGGGACTGAAAAACATTTCCGTTTTTTTAGTAAATACGTAGAAAATGTCTAGACTCTCCATAGATTTTGTATACAACCACTGAAGTGGCGTCAGGTTGCAACATCCTTTGCAGAGTTGTCATGTGTACGAGTTGGTCGCGTACGAGTTGGTTCGCGTACGAGTTGACCTGTATTCGGCCTATGTACACGTATACACTCATGCGTGCATACTCGCCGTGGCCGAGCTGTGGGCCATGGGTTATGCATCCTGTACTTCTGTATCTTATCTTGCTAAGTGTCCAAGAACTGCTTTGGATTGGGGACGGTATGACAATTATAAAGAGCTTGAGGAACATGCTATCTTCAAAAACCTGTTGTCACATACGTCATGGTTTCTCCAACTTATAGCTATATGTTTTGGTATGCTTCACAGTTCGGGAAGAGAGAAAAAAATAAAATCAAAATGAAACAGGTCGTGTTTTGATGGACTTCCGCAGTTGTTTACGTTTAAAAACCACAATAATATAGTATTGTTTTACCTGAAAGTTTAGTAAAGTTTACTTAATTGTCTTATCTAATAAATGTGTAAACATATTTTCCTATACATCAAGTAAACTTTTACACAACTGTCAAGAAAACTTTTACCCAACATGTATTTTATAAATATTTACACAATTGCAAGCGAGTTCGTAGACATATAAAACATGGTAAAATTTTACACAACTTGTGTAAGTTTTTTGTGAGAGTGTAGATATTCGTACGGCTTTTCCTAGAGTACAATGTTGAACATGGGTCATTCCATGTCAGACCAACGCACTTTTTTACCTCATGTCTTCTGAATTTGATAAAAACTTGCTGTGCTTGTAGGTCTTGATGAGCAATGAATGCACACCAATTTTTAGCCCGATCCGACCTACCATGTGGTCAGGGCAGAAACCACAAAAAAACGGACATTTTTAGAGTAAAATACCATCCTTTTGGCAGAAATATGTCGATACCATGTTATTTTTCATCGAATATATGCGAATTTGGTATCAAAATAATAAGAATTGCATGCTCAAATCAATTCTTTTGTCAAAATTAAAATTTGTGAAAAGGAGGTCACGTAACCTTTAATATGTTATCGTGACCTTTGACCCAATTTATGTACTAATGTATCATTCCGAAAATCAACGAAAATGAAATGACTTTATAGAGCATGTCTTCCTCTATTAGAATCCACTAAAAATCAATTGGGGTCTTCAAAATTTACAACTTTATGACTATTTTTGTACAGTTGGTAGGTTACAAATTAGTCAATTTATAGACTTTACATGAGAAATCCACCAACACAACTTACTATTCTGTTTCTAAAGCTACTTAAATTAATCTTGGTTTGGGAATTTCTCATGTTTAGGGCTGATGAGGTCAAACCAGACTCAATATAAATTGTCAGCAGTGGCGCACCCAGGATTTTGCTTTTGTGTGTGTGTGTGGGGGGGGGGGGCTCATAATTTGTTTGTTTTCAAATTTCTGTAGACGATTAAAAAACAAAAATTACCCACCCCGGGGTGCCACTGATAATTAGTTATCCCACGAGCGCGCTTGGAATATGAAACAATGCAATGCTGCTGTGACCCATATGCCACCCGACGCACTACATTATTCTGTGTTCCACGAGCGCAAGCTAACGAATTTATCTTCAAGCAAACTTGACGTCCAATGCTTGAGAGTCGATTGTCATCAGCAGTCACTGTTTAGGGTACGCATCAGCTCTATGCTTTCTACCCGGACCCAGTACAGCGGACACACATCCAAATTTGAAATTTATCTCGAAGGAAAAAATTGCCTGTGAGTCTGTGAGACTCATTAAATTTCAAGAAGCGCAGTGATGAATGAGTAAGGTAACTTTGATTGGGATATTTAGTATTATCTTCAAGCAAACTTGAATCCTAAACCCTGATTAGTCCTTCTATAGCAACAGTGTGATTTGATATAATATTGCACAGCTATATTGCACCCCAGATATCGAATGTACATGTATGTATTGTGTTCTTTTTTAATTGCTGCTGAATGGTCCGATACACTATGCACCTACATGTACATCCCTCGGCACGTGCAATGTACACATTCGACGTCAAGTTTGCTTGAAGATAAATGCGTTATGGCTCGTGGAACACGGAATAATGTAGTGCGTCGGGTGGCATATGGGTCACAGCAGCATTGCATTGTTTCATTTTCCAATATTCCAAGCGCGCTCGTGGGATAACTATTTATCAGTGGCAGGGGGGGAGCATTGAGGGGCTTGAACCCACCCCCTCCAAGGTTGTCAATTTGTTTGTTTGATTTTTTATTTCAATCTCCTACAGAAATTTAACAACAAAAAGCTATGAGCCCCCCCCCCCCCCCAAAAAAAGCAAAATCCTGGGTGCGCCACTGCTGATAATTTATATTATGAGTCTGGTTAGACCTCATCAGCCCTAAACATGAGAAATTCCCAAACCAAGATTATTTTAAGTAGCTTTAGAAACAGAATAGTAAGTTGTGTTGGTGGATTTCTAATGTAAAGTCTATAAATTGACTAATTTGTAACCTACCAACTGTACAAAAATAGTCATAAATTTGTAAATTTTGAAGACACCAATTGATTTGTAGTAGATTCTGATAGAGGAAGACTTGCTCTATTGAGTCATTTTTATTTCGTTGAATTTTGGAATGATACATTAGTACATAAATTGGGTCAAAGGTCACGAAAACATATTACAGGTCACGTGACCTCCCTTTCACAAAATTTAATTTCGACAAAAGAGTTGCTTTGAGCATGCAATTCTCATTATTTTGATACCAAATTTTGCATATATTCGATGGAA